TTATACATTATGTATATATATATGTTGTAAGTGGGAACGGGATTTAAGTGGATTTGGAATTTCTTAGAATTTTAGAATTTTAGGTTAGAGTATAGTATTTATATAAAATAAACTCTACCCTGAAATACTAATTTTAACTAAGAAGTTCCCACCTACAACATATACACGGGTATATATTAACTAATGATTTGCAAATCTGTATAATAAATAAATTTATGAACAAAAATAAAATCCGTCTAATATTAGAATATATTAGAATAGAGGTGAGTTTACACTAAATTTTGCATAGATTATTTTTGTTAGAACCCAAAGAATAAGTTTAATAAACAGAATTTTGAGTTATTATATGTATCCGTGTTTCATACACTAGTGTACAAATATAAATTGCCTAAAATTTTAAACTTAAATTTTAATTTTAAATCTATTTAGTTATTTACTGTATATTATTTTAATTATATTTTACTATACTTTTATTAATAATAAAATACTATTTAATTTTTAATAGGTTACAATATAAAATTTGTAATGTTTAAAACTTTATAAGCCAAATATTTTTTTGCTCTACGATAATCTTTTATAATTATAATACTGTATTTATAGATCTTGTAAAATTTTATATAAAATTATCAATTGTCAAATTTGCCATTGAGAAACTTAGTAAGCTTTAGGTATTTTTGTATCTTTGTCTTTTTTTTTCAGTATATAAATATAATAATAGATTAAAAAAATTTGTAAAAACAAACTAAATTTTGACCTAAATCACAAGTGTTTGGATATTAAAATTTAAATTTTAGTTATCAATTATACATTAATCAATAAATATTATACCTAAAAATTTTTAGATTACGATCTATATTGTCTAACTCATTCTTGACGTACCTCATTAGACATGTATTCTAATCTAGTTTTATAGTCAAAAATCAGTATTCCACATTCCCTAGTAGTCAAATTTTCAAGTATTTCATAGATCACTGCATGATTGCATTTTCATTTGCTTTTACTGTATATAAAAGTATTTTTATTGATGCGATGATTAATTAATTTTGAGTTAATTTTAAATCCACATAAGAAGTAGAATTCGAATTCTCTAATGAGTTGGTTTAGAATTTTTAAGACATATTCGATTTGGAATTCACAAAAATTCAAAAAGCGGTTTCATTGTTCAATAAGTTTATTTCAGAATACATTATTTTGAATATTACTTCTTTAAAAGTAGAGTATATTGTTCCAAAATCATGCTCATGGGCGTTTTCTGAAAAAATTCTATAAAATGTAGCTTTTTTTTTTTGTTTCAAAATAACGCCCATAAGCAGAAATGACGCACATTTGATATATATAACTATTATCACATTATTTATTTTAAAAGAAAACTGCTCCCCTATTTCATAATAATGCATTGGCGTACTCAAATAGGCGTTATTTCGCGAAGGTACGGTGTATAGAAATACCAATGTTCATCCAGCTGCGCGTTATTTAGAAGACACTAACGCGTTATGTAAACATCTATTTTATTTTTTGCGCAATATCAACTAATTGACTGTTGGAAAATTGGAAAATGATTGTCGTTATGCAGCCCGGTCTTAGTTACATATTAAGTGTTAGCCCTAAAAATTGCTGTCCTAAATAATAATAATAATGTTTGTGTATATATGGTTTATTGTCTTGTCAATGAGGTGATTAAGTTAGCATAATGCAATTTTTAATCGCATTTAATGACGTCTCGGAGTAATAAAGCTTAGTTGAATCGGGGTTTCATGTTTCTGAATAGTTATATTCTATTCTTCTATTATATTCATCGACTTTATATAATAATATGAGGATAGTTATTCTCGAGGACTTGAGGAAATATTAACTTGATGTTACCAAAAATCACCACTGGGATACCACATGGTAGCATATAAGCAGTTTTCCTTGTATATGATAACGTTTAGATTTTGACAAGACAATTTAGGTAAAATAAATAAAAAGTACACTTTATGATCGACCTAATGTTTAGAAACCCATCTACTAGCAATTACTGAAAACTAAATAGATACAATTACAGACGAGGATATATGTGGTGTGGATATATGTAGTTAGAATATGAATTAAACCTTAAAAAGGCCACTTTCTTTTCAGTACTTCCAACGTAAAATAACTTATTAATTGGACATTTTTGTAACATATATACAATAGAGTATTTTATAAAATTTTCTCGTGTGTTATTCAAAAATTAAACCAGATAGGCAGTGAAAAATGCTCGGGTCATTATTTTTAAGAGCATTATATGCAATCACAAACAGTAACGATGCAAGTGAATTGTCGTAACTTACAGTACAAGATAAAAAGGTAAGGAAAACCGGTTTAATTTAATATAAAGTATATAAAGTGTAACTTATACGTATAAAGTGTAACTTAATCAACAGGTAACGCAATTATGCAGACCAACAAGGAGTGCACCACAGCAAATCTTAGCGTTATTGACAGAAATAGAATTGATTAGTAAAATGCAATTAAATTATATAGTGATATATTTATTTTATTTTTAGTGACGTGCGTCCCAAAAGCGTCTATCATATCCATATTGTATGATGACAAACATTACGACATCTACATACGTAGCATCCAAGACAATGTTTACCCATTATCTACGGTCATCCCTCTCTATAATAACGCATTTGTAATATGATAAATGCTGTATATTTTTTCAAAGAATGGCGTTATAAAGAGAGAGATATAGCAAGTGACTATATAAATGAACAATTGTATTCCTACTTCGGGATTTAAACTGTGTAAATCCAATAAATTACATAAATTTCAGAACATTAGTGTGAACGATTATAATTTATATATATATATGTAGTAATGAGCCTTAAAAATCAAACATTCGCCCGACATTGTATACAGTGCTCGTGTAACATTCATGCATATATATGCGTTTACCACGGGTTTTAATGCAGGTTATTCTCTATCTGTAAGAAAGTAACCCTTGCATATTCGTTTAAAGTATATTGCATTTGTTATATAATTTTTACTTTTATTTGTATGATATATTTATTCCTTATTATAATTAGCCCCGTCGTTTAACGACGGGCTCTAGTATTAGTAAAACTTGAAAGATAATTTGAATTCACAAATGTTTAACTTACCGAATCATAGCATTCAATATATGCATATGTGTATAAGTCATTGAAGCTAACGCTAACTCGTGAATATATGCATATTGCATACCCGCTCACCCACTCCCAAATAATATTCGGTTAAAAATATAATAATATGCAGTTTTAAGTTCTGATTGCACGATAATTTTAAGAATGAAGTTTATTTCGCATAAATACATATATATTCTGTTTTTGAAAGGTATATTATTTACCAAACCATACAATATTAAAGCATTTAAGTTGTAGTTAAATCCCTTCTTGGATCGGAATATTTAACAATCGGATAAGTAGTATGTCTTGTGATTATTTCCATTTAAGTCAATATATTACAAAAAAACCGGTTTAAAAATTTGCGCCTTATCTTAAAAACATCATTTAACTGAAAAGAAAAATAGATAAAATTTTAGTGAAACTCTCATTATTGTTCTAAAAAATTTGCCGTCTTTTACGCTAAATAATTGATAGAATTTTGATTAATTCAATCTGTCATTTACTAAAATGACTAACCTTAAATAACTTGTAAAATTGGAAGTGATTTATATGATTATTTTAAGAGTAGAGATGTCTGTGAAATTAATTTCACCAATTTTTTCACAAAAATCTATCAATTTTACCACTTTAATTTGTTTCACCAGATTCATATTTAAGGACTTGTATGTACTAACCCAAAAGATGGGCTGAGAATCATGGTCCGAATATGCGAGGAGCATCATTATAATGATTCATAAAGATGCATTAGGAAAAACTTCAAATGCACATGAAACCAATGTCGTATCGATGGGTACAGGTAAATTCTATGATCAAAAACCCTTGATCTTGCCAAAAGCCTGCTATTTTGGTAAACAATGCAAATAAAGTTTTCATCAATGTGATAATCAATAATGTAAACTAAAATTTATAGATTTCGTGTATCGAACTAATTTGATTTAGGAACAAATTTCCTATTTAGAAATTCCTAACCTGTATGATGTACATTAACTCTCCCTTATATAATACTCTATTGTTTGTGTAATTGCGTATTCTTGCGTCAATCAACTTTTACATAGTAAAAAAACAATTGTATCACGTGATTTTCGCGTCACGTCTTTACAATATTTTAGAAATTGTATATTTTATACCAAAATAAATCACCATAGATGCGCATGTTATATTAATCTTATCTCCAACCTTATCTTTAATTCACACGAACCGCATCTCAATGAGCCCATATCGGTAGGGCACTCGTGTTTTTACGGCTAAAGCCGTTACCATATTATCTTATTATCCTGATGCTAACCCGTAGTCTTGGTAGGGGGTAAACTATCAGTTATTTATTATAGAGATTAAACTTGGTTTTTCATACAGTATATGTATTATATTTACATAAAATATTTATTTATTTACTATTTTTATTTTATTTTTATTATGTAATATATATAAAATATTTATTTATTTATTTACTATTTTTCTGACAGCTATTTTTTAATATATACTTTAAAATAAAAAGCCCAAGATATTGGAACTATTTTAAATTTCCATATGATATGAACCAAAACACAAATTGGCTTTATCAGCTAATCGTCATGCAGGGTGGAAATTTGACTGTTACACGGTTTGCTGTTTTTATTACCCAATACCATTATAATGGATTTTATAAACAAAGAACAACCCAAAGGCGTTCTAAAATATAAAGAGTGTCTTTAAATCCTTATATAGCGAATGAATTATGAACATAATAATATCGGAAGATTGTGTTGACGCCATCAAGTGCTAATGTTGAACAATGTTAAAAAATTTTTATAAAAAAAAAAAGACACATTTTTTCTTTATAAAAGGAATTAATGACAAAAATGTTTTCATTTATTGCTCGTATTACAAACAATGGATGAAGCTACTAGACGAAAGTATTGTGGCCTCCTAATGTTCGATGTCTCCCCACCCTCCCTTTCTGACAAATCTATTAACAAGATAGATTCTTCGACACAACTTACGATCGATCATACTACCTCATTAGAAAATAGTAGCATTAGAACCCAAGATAATTTCGTTTTTACTTCTTTCTTAGAACCAATTAGAGTGCGACCACAAAGCCCTCTAAAAAATAAACCGACCGTAAATCATGTCTTGGATTCAAATTCGTCGATAATGAATAACGAGGTCGATAAGGCAACAAACTTATCCAATCTTGAAAAGCTGTCTCCAGAAGATAGAACTCCTCGCCCTCCCAATGCATTCATTTTATACAGGCGCCACAAACAACCTGAAGTCACTCGTGACTATGGAAATATATCTAATGCGAAAATCTCCAAAATACTAGCTACCCTTTGGCGAAATGAGACCGATGACGTGAAACATCATTGGCAAAAGATGGCTGACAGGAAAAAAATGGAACATATGCTTGCCCATCCTGGATATGTATATCGACCAAAAAAACCTAGTGAAAAAAAAAAAAAAAAAGATCGTCGTAAATTGAAGGCCACTACTCAGGAATGTGAATCGTCAATTCCACTACCGGCTCCAAATCCTATTGTTTCTCCTCAAGAATCTATCATTTCGATGGACCCCCCTTCCTTTCCTTATGACAATCAATTTGGAAATTATTCGCAAATTACTCCTCACGATATCGATCTTGGATATAATGTCTATAGCATCGATTATAACTATTATAATGATTATAATGACTATAGTTTTATTGAAACCACCAATGGATTTCAATATTTGATCGATCAGGATCCTATATTTTACCCTTATGACGTTAATGCTAAGCTTTAGTTTGTTTTTTTTTCGTACATATAATTTTTCATTTTATCTTTTTTCGTATTCGAGATACACCTTTATGCAAATTCAGTCAAGCGGATTTGACCTAAGCCTACATCGGTTTATATTTCGTGGTTTTTGTTTTTTTTATAAAGGAACTGTGTGTATCGGCTCGTAGAAATAATACTTGTAAAATAATTCCCCTCCTAAGTTTATGATAATGTACAGTAAGACACGTCCCATAATTTACGTATCTTCAAATATTGGCTATGGTAATTTATGTATTATATGTAATTTAATTTAATCACGTGGTTAATTCAGTTAAACTATTATAAACACATAAATAAAAATTCGTTTTTCAGTGTCGACATTAAATAGTTTTCTTTTGCAATTATTATTTTTTTATTTTTTATATAATTATATATAAATTTTATGAAACTTCATAAAAATTTACAACTTATTAAAATTTAATAAAAATTTATTTTATTTTAATTCCATTATTTGTAGAATTTAAATAAATTTTTTTTTAAAAAAATTAATTAGTTGGCTGTCAAGATATATTGCTCAAAGTTATAGAAAAAATTTATTATAATTTTTTAAGATGATTTAAATTTTTTCAATGCTTTGAGTGATAATATCTCAATAATAAAGTAGTTAACATTTTAAATTCTTTGAATAATAGAATTAAATAAACAAGTTTTATTGAGCCTAAGTAAGTGGCTATCGAGATATTTTGCGTTCAAAGTTTTAAAGGTTCAAATTTTTTCAAGAATAAATAATAATATCTGATAATTGCCGACTAAATTCAATAAAAAAGTTTTATTTAAATTTTATAGATACATAATAGTAAAAAAAGTTTTTTTTATTGAATTTACGTTGTTTATTTAAATTTTATAGATACATAATAGTAAAAAAAGTTTTTTTATTGAATTTACGTTGTGTTATGTGTTTTTGGAATAATGTTATATAATATCCAAACATCCACTAACTTATGGCAATTTGCAAAAAGGTGGGACTCTGTGATCTCGTGATGATGATAATGGAAAATTTTACGAGATTTTAAATTTTCTATTGACCATATTTTCAATTATTGCGCTTTGCAAAAAGATGTGAACACTGCAGATCATTTTTTCATGTGGGAATCGGAGATTTTATAGATTTTTTGAGATTTTAAGAATTAAACTGATTTAAAGAAATATAAACGTAACCAATCGAAAATATAAAGTAACAGGCAATCTGGAATCTTAGTGATTATCATTAAAATCACATGTTCACATCTTTTTGCAAAGCGCTATAATACCATCTATATTTATTTGAAAATCTTTAAAATTCTCTAAGAATCAAAAAATCTAATAGAATCGGCTGATTTCCCGCGATTTTATATGGTATCATGATCTGCAAACCGCCATAATTCAAAATATTTAAATTCTATATACCAATATATAGAATTAAATAATAAAATTTTTTACTGAGTTTGGTTATAGTCATTGAGATATTATCGCTTAAAGTTTGAAATTTCACAGTATTGTTGATCCGAAATCTTGGGGTTATAATCTACTACGCGTTTATTTGCATCAATCAAAGTCTTATTTTGGAACTTGTATAGAAAAACTTAATGCATTTAAGTAGATGTCTTACCCGGGTTAGAAAATAGTGATCTGAGTCAAAACCCGACCCGAAATTTTGTGGCCCGGGTCATAGAGGTTTAACTCGTTTACTCAACCGGGTTATAAGACCTCTCCGACAATCATTGACACCAGATTTCCTAACACCAGTTTCCCGCATACATCCAATATGCCATTCATAAATATAATATTTAATTCATTTTATTCAAATAATTTTGAGTATTAAAAAAAAATACTATCTAAAGCGTTTAAAATAAGCTATTCAAGTTATGAATATTTACTATGCAATTCATTTACTTTACAACATTTAAATAATATTTTAATTTAAATGTTTAAGTAATTTATGACTTAGTACGAAGTATTGGGTTAGCAGTAGGGTTGTTAATGGAGTACTCCAGACATTAATAAAACATATAACCCACTTCTGGAGTGCTCCGGAGCGGGTTATATGTTTTACTATTGACTGGAGTGCTTCATTAACAACTCTAGTTAGCAGTAATGTTGTTAGTCAGAATACCCTATTAAGTCAAATATTTAGACAATTTTGTGTCGGAATATATTTCGACATGACATATTCTAATTTGACTAAATGTCTGCTTGTACATTAAAAGTAACTGATTTTGAATTGATAGTAATCCAGATTTAAGCTATAAACATTTAGCATAGTGAGTACTGTGTGAAAAAAAGCACACAGAACATGTGGGAAAATTTCAAGCTGATATCGTTTAGAAAAATACCGTATTCCGTTCTCCAAAGTACCCGAGTCTTTTTACAAATTTGGGCATTTTTAAGCCCGATAAGGGTACTTTACATGGGTGGGTATTTTTTACAAAGCTATGTAGTTTACTATTAACGTAGTATAAAATTGTACTGAATACTCATAGCATTATACCCGAATATTTATTTTACAGTTATTAAGGTGGGATATAATACATGGAGGATACTTTGGAGAACGGAATACGGTATATACAGTATAATTAAAACCGCTTGATAGAGGCGCACAACCGTTTTTAGATCAAATTTATTAAGTAGCATGAAATCCACAAAATAAACAAGTTCGGATATTTGCTAATAAATAAGTTTATATATTTTTTAATTTAGACATTTCGACATTATTTAGACGCTTTGACATTTCGGCATTATTTTAGTATTTCGGCAGACTAAATATCAATTGTCGAAATATTCTATAAACTCAAACCAATTTCGGCTAATAACATTAGTTAGCAAATTATATATTTTGATAGCTCAATCAATTTTTTTATATTTAATAAATTATTAATCGCTAAGATTTTCTTAATTAAAAGGTTGCTGTATTTTTGTGAAATAACATGCAGAGGTGTAATTTCAAATTTTGGCTTAAATCAAGCTTAATTCAGGCCATTATTATAAATAATGTTCATAAGCATTATCGTTATTACTTGAAGATACAGATTCACATGAGATCCTTTTGCACGAAGATAATATCTTCATCTGCGAGATACATCTCCACCTAGTCACTTCCCGACACAACTTTTTTTTTTTATTCCTTGACTTTTGTTTCTCCAACATTTTATTTTTATATTTTAATTTTTGCTTTTATTTCCTAACACTTTTGTTTCTCCGGCATTTTTATTTTGAAATTTTAATTTTCACTTTCATTTCCCACCGATTTCACTGCCTAGCACTTTCATGTTTCCGAAATTCTATTTTATGAGTATAAAGAAAATGTTTATATTTAATATAATCTATTCAGGTTCGTGAATATTTACTATTTAATTTCATTTTTGGATTGAAAATATGAAAAATCTTTATATGATAAATATTTAAAATAAGCTATTCGAATTTATGAATATCCACTGTTTAATTTTATTCCAAATTGTGAATATAAAGAAATTTATTAATTTAAATATTTTTTTAAAAAAAAAATTATTCAAATCCATAATTTTATCATTAATTACTGAAGTGAAGTTTTTATTAATTTAAGCATTTTAAAATAAGCATTTAATTTCATAAACATTTACTATTTTATTCGAGTATCCCAATGTTTAAAATATACTATACAGGTTCATGAATATTTACTATTTAATTTCTGTTTAATTTACTGCATTCCGTGAGTATGAACAACGTTTATTTATAAATCCAGTATTTACAATAATCTATTCGAGTTCATATACATTTATTTTTTAAACACTGAGCGCGTATGGAGAATATTTATTGATCTAAGCATTTAAAACATGCTATTCAAATTTTTAGGTTTTATTTTATTCGTGTTAATTCAAACTTTTTTTTATTCACGTTAGTGTAGTCTGTGAGTATAAAAAATATTTATTAATCTAAATATTTAAAATAAGCTATTCAGTTTCGCAAATATTACTATATACTTAATTTTATTTAATTCGTGTAGGTAAGTATTAAAAATTTATAATGAAAACTTATTATGAAATATACAGGTTGTACACGTAATGAATAAAGCATAGTGGTGAAATATTGTCAAGAAAGTGAATGTCGAGGAAATTGCTATCAGAGGAACTAGTGATGTAATCATTGGAAAAATAAATAATATTGGTGCTCTTTATAACATTTACTATAGAAGCCACTTGGAAGCTGCTACTTTCAATTCCATCCAATTAGGTCCAGCAGTTTTCTAGTTTTAGTAATTCCCACTGGATGTTCTAGAATAACACTACAGTATATTATCTATAAAGTTGTTTTTTTTTTAATATTACTAAACCTCACTGGACTCTTTCTAGTGGCAAAAAAAGTACAAATAAAAGGATCTAGTAATAAGAGTAATAACAGATATTATGTAATATTCTGAGAGGTTTCTGTTAGAGATATAAATTTATAATAACCAATCAAATTTTTCGAGAGTATAGTAAAAAAATATTACTTAATATCTATTACTACCCTAACTAGCCACTTGAATTATTACTTATTCCATTTTAATAAGCCTTTAAGCAGTACTAGTAATAATGATTATTTATTACCACTAGTAATTATTACTAGTGTTGCTATATTTCAAAAATCTACTAAGTAAATAGAATTAGATACTCTAAATAAAAATATTTAGCCTGTATAAAAATTAAAACCTTATATCTAGTTTACTTTATATTATATAAAAAAAAACTTTTAAAAATATACTTTAAATTTTAGCAAAAAAACTATACAGTTATCTCTCTCTACAATCACCGAGTTTATCTAACATATTTTGGTAATTATATAAAAGGTGATTAAATAGAATTACCTCTATATAATCCAAAATATAAAATAACCAATATAATGTGATTTTAAAGAAGCAATTAATTTATTAATATATTAATTTATAGCATGGCCACTATTGTTACAAAATTTATATTGTAAATTATTTTCTTTTTATTTTATTATCTATGCTTGTTAAATTATACAATGCAT